TTTCTGGAAAACCAGGTCTCCGAAGGCCTAGCAGCAAAAACCATTGTCATATTCGGAATCAGCATAGTCGATAACCTATTCTCCACTAGATTTCAACAAAAGAGCGAGCGGACACTTGAGGCAGTTCCCTCGTTAGTCGACAAAATAGTGCATCAATTCTCCGATTCAGCAGACAGGGTAAGAATTATTGTTTTAGTTATAATATGCACACACGCATCTTGTACAATTATACTGACACAAGAAAGAAAGATAAAACTAAATATTGGCAAAATAGACTTCTATTCGTTTTCAAGATGGTTGGAGAAAATATTTATATATAAAGGTGTGGATGGAGGAAGATGACTTTTTGAAACATCCATGTTGTGGAGTATGGATAGAGAGAAATTCGATCAACTCTACCCGAGTATGTTTCGCTCTATTCGAAAGTCTATTTAAGAATTTACTATCTTTTCGGAAGCCTATGGTACGGTATCAATTCTTTTGGGGTTTTTGCTGCTAAATATGCTGCTCATCTTATTTGGTACTGGGTTGCTTCTTGTGCTACCTCGAGATGTTTACTATATTTTTTAACCAATAAAGATTTAGATAATCTCGAATAGTGTACTCTGACTCAGTATGCTCGTTGTTATATCGTCCAAATTATATAGGTTAAAAACAGTTCTTAATCCCGAGTAGAATACGTGTTCTATATATTGTTGTTGCTTATTAGTGAAAAAGACCATTTTTAGAAAAGTCAAATAAAATGTGGTAGTGCATATACATAGAATAGAATGCGATGAGTATTAATGAGTATTATTGGAATACTTTGAAAAATGATTTTTAAAGCATTATAAATGTTTCTAATTAGACGTATACACATAGATATGTACACGCTCCTTGCAAGTTTGGATATGATGGGTATTCCAAGATATTTGAAAAATTTGACAACTTTAATCTGAAAACCACGATAGATGACATTTAAGTGCCACGATGCAACGACGCCGTGTACTAGCATCGCATTAGTTTTATCGACGTTAATCGGAAGTATATGTTCTTCTGCATATTTTGATAGCATTTTCATTGCAATGTTTGCTGTTTCTTCTAACTCAATAATATTAAGTGTAAAAAAGAAGGGAAGGAAATGTATGTGAAAATGAAAAAGTGTAGCTGATAACACTGATCGTTATGGCGCTCCAACAAAGATATCGATGATTCAGGAAAGTGCCTCCCCAAAATGCATAGACATTGTTCTCTCTTACAACCATACGAAAACTGATCGAAAAAGTGAGTAGAAATTCCAAGTCTTGAAGTGTGCTCAAGAGTGCAGGGTGTCATATTTTGTCGAACGCTGATATAAAATCCACAAAAATGACCAGGGCGGGCCTGTTACACGCAGCCACTGTCAATCTTAAATCTTCTACCAGTGAGAGGATCCGTGTCTGAAGTCTCCTTTCGGGCGTGAATCAGCATTGTTCATCCGCGTATATTCCCTTCTCCCTGCATCAATTTAAAATTCTCTTATGTATAATTCTCTCAAACTACTTGCCAAAATTTGATGGAAGTGATATAGACCAAAGCTTATTCACTTTCGGATATAGTCTGTCTTTTGAGAGACATATGACTTTTCCGTGTTTACTTGATTTCAGAGCGTTTCCTAGCTGGGCAAACTTCTTGTAACCAACTATGATTATTTTTAAATATTCTACCGGCAGCTGCTTTAATAAACCAGTAGATATACCTTCGCTGTCAGGTGATATTCTATTTTTGCCCGTTTCCAATTCTGTTCTACCTCCTCCATAGTTATCTTTTCTAAAGGAATATTTGGTATATAAGAAACGTTTTCATATGCTTCTACATGAGCCGATATTTTTGGATCATGTACTGGGACTTCGAAGTGTTTCTCAAAAAGGTCGGCTAGCCTATCCGCAATTTTCTGGTGATTTTTATCACACCGTTTGTTGTAGTGAGACTTCGAAATCGTGGTGAATAGGGGTGAAAAATCGGATGAACATATTTCCAAATATTATTCCCTTGGGAGATATAAGACATTTTGTCCTCAAACCTTTTTTGTTGATATACACCTAAGGTATAAAGTCTTCATAAATACATATTCATGACGAGGTGTATCTGTTTCCCTGTTCTCTTGTACTTTCTTCTCGCTTTATTTTGTTTTTTCGCGAGATTCACAAGAAATGGTGGCTACGGTCTACGGTATTTTTTGACGGGAGTATATCCACTGACTCTCTAAATCTATATATACAACTTGTTTTCTTTTTTCTATAGATCAAAATAAAATAATAAAAGCTTTGTGCGCATTCGTAAACGAATTACAAAAACAAAGAAATCTAGCAGCCAAATTTCGAATGATCTCTCTTGATATTTGTTCACTTCAAGTTTTCTTTCAGACTAGTACGTCAAAAGAAAAGAAAGGAAAAGGAAACAAGTTGTATATATAGATTTTACTTTTATGTACAATCAGCTTTACGTTTGAAAATGACCGTATAAAGGGTCGAATTATTACAAAATAAAAATAAAATAAAACATGAAGTTTAAAACAGCTGTATTAATAATCAAGTTTTTGATTAATAAGTCGTTGCCCGCAAAGCATACCATTTCACACAAGATATTTTCCACCTACCGCCAGAACTATATTTTGCCGAGAGACAACTGTCGCTACAAAACTTTGTATTATTCTAATAATAGAAGACGCCACAACAACCACTAGCAAAGAAACCCGGTATTAACCATGTTCTTTTATAGAACCCTTTAGCGGAACAAATTGACACCCATAACACAATACTTTAAGAGTACATGCCAGAAATACGAACAACGCTCCACTGCTGCATTGTTATTACTCTATTATTAACAATAGAGTGTCAAACACCGTTCAATCTTTGTGGTTACATGCACAGCTAATTAGAAACATAAACAACTGCTAGCCCACCGAACGGAGACTTAGACGAACGTAGATACGACTAGTATAATCCCGATGTTTTTAATGAGCTTTCGACGAGAATATCCTTGGTTAAATCATCAAAATAACACAACTGCTTGTCGACTTGACGACAAACGCCATTACGTCGATATCGTGGGCCACGAGTACAAAACAAATACTTTGTCCTCACTTCTTCGTCTTGCGACGGTCGATCCTCTTCTTCTAAACTGTTTAGCATTTCTTTCTGTCTCTCATGTTCTAATTCGAATATATCTGTTAAACGTTGACGTAAACTAAATAAATCGAGTTCAATTTCGTCTGCGAGAGATATGGAAACAGCGTCATCATCCATGTCCTTCTTTCGCGGCACTATACACGAATATAGATGACGAATAGACAAACACTTTCGTTTTTTAATAGGTTCAACCGATATAATGCGATTTTCATCCGTTTGATTAGATTCTGACTGATGTTGAGCTTTTGATGGGTATTTCCAATTTTCAATTAACTTTTGATCCTCTTCTAAATGGTTTTTACGATTAATAGCGACATCTCTCTTCTGCTGTTGATTGTGGAACATTCAATTTTACCTAAAAGAATAGTATTCATCGCTAAATTGTGTAACGAGCAGTTATTCAGTGATGAAATGACGTTCTAAATATTTAGTATCGTTCAGTTTCGTGTCAACTATGCTTAATGATCATTAGTACTGTTCAAGCCTCTACAGCTAGCTGTAGAGTGTTAGTCAAGAAGTTCAGCTTTTTGCATTCTTCGAGATCCCGTCTGTCTATCCGGAACACTTTGGTGAGAAGAAGAAGCAAACCTGATTGTCGTATTCTGCACATACGCTGACATACTACACGATTTCTCAACAAACCACATCCCTTTCACCTATGATATACATAGAGGTGTTAGAAAAACTAAAGAAACGTTATCCGCCCTTGGCGGTAGCAGCGCGAAAATTTGAAAAAAAGTTATAATTTTTAATAAATTTTCTTCGAACAGGTTTGAAAAAGTTTCGAATCAGCGGCGGCGACGAAAAACTTCAAAAACAAATTCTGTCTATGGCGGCGGCGCTGAGAAATTTTAAACTTTTCTTTGGCGGTAACGGCGCGTCTAACACCTCTAATTATACATTCTTCTATACCCTTGAAAATAAAATGTTCAGGTCGAACCGGACGTTTTCGAAAAATTATTATAAACGACGATAAATTAACTTATAAACGACTTTGTTTTATAGACAAAGTGTCAAAATAAACACTTCTACTTAGTATATAGAAAATCACAAGTAAACCACATAGAGTTGCGAAACAAAGGCACATATACTGCTCTCATCAATTACGATTGTTTAACTACTTGCAGAAGCATGAGACAAACTGTGAAAAAATGTCCTATAACGAAACAAACATTCCGGTGGAATTATCTACAAAAAGTCAATACTTTTAAAGTTAACATCATTTTTCTTCAGTCAAACATCACTTAACCGATCCAAAACACTTCAAAAGCTCTAAACAATCATGTATGTCGTGGCTCAATATTGGGGAGTGTCATGAAATCCAGATGTTTTTAAGTCCGGCAACATTTTTTATCCGGAAATCCTATTCGCACGCGCAAGTCCACCCGGATGTAATTTAATCCGGATTTAAAAGTCGGTAAAATTTCCGGATGACTTTCGCTCGATCAACTCCGGTAAAAACTATTCTGTAGGAGGTTTTTACTTTCAATAAAAAGCAATGCAAGTCCAATTGTTAATTAGTTGTATATTAGTCACTCCCAATGTACTTTAATAATGAAACTACTAGTATTACTATTATACTCTATGACATGCGGATTTGCATTGCTTTTTATTACAAGTGACAAACTCATCCAGAATTTTTTTTCCCAACTTGAGAGATTTTTTAAGAAGCTACCGGAGTTGATCGAGAGAAATTCATCCGTAAATAAGTCATCCGGATTCCAACATCTCCGGCAAATGATTCATCCGGACATGCTGAATTCTGGATAAATAGTTTTCGGATGAGTTAAAAAAAGAATTTTAATAATCCGGATTTCATGACACTTCCTCCTCAATATGCTAGTGCGAAAATATAGTTATTCCATTTAATCCTTCTTTTATTACAGCTCTTTTTAATTACGAAAGAAAAGGAGGAAAAAATGAGCCATCAGTCACTGCTGTCTAATTTTATCGGAAGAAGACGAGTGGCTAGCCAGCATGCTGGGTGTTAGTCAGAAGATATATGGCTATAAACAATACATCTCACATAAAAGCAATCGCGTGACAAAACAAAAATTGTGTCAAAATGTGGACAGTGCTGCTGATTAAAAAAGCTTTCGACGTTTCACACACATAAATCTCATTTCCGCATCAGAAAGCAAAACAATGTCACACAAACACGACTTTTTTAATATGTCACTGCATGAAATACCGTTTCAAGTAAATGTGCTTACGTTACTGTAATTTTATTCAAGAAAAGAACAGATAATGTAACTGATACGCCGGCATTCGTTTTCTTTATTCTGTAATACGTGATAATAACTCGTTTTTAAAACAAGCTAAAACAGCTAGAACACAAATTTTTCCATCCCTTTATTTGTTCAACCTAATGGTTTAATTTATTCTTTTCTGTTTAAGTGATGTGTAGGAAAAACAAGAGAGGAAGATTATTTATAAGCAAGCACTGTTCTATTGAAACTAATCTTTTTTGTTTAACTATCCTCTCTAATTTTGTCCTTCAAAGAAAATGAGAATATATCTCTTGTTCGCCCTATAAGTAACGCTGTCACATTAATTTCAATTAAAATTTTGCTTCAGTTAATGATCAGTGGGTTTGGCAATAGTTACTATATGGAAAACGGAAGAATTTGAAGAAGGATTATCAAAAAAGAAATATCATTATTTGATCGGTGATTAGATTAATTATTTTATATTGTCCAGATTTTGTCACGACATGCCACAAAATTGACTGATAGAGAAGAAAAAGAAACACGGATTTTAGGGGTAATTATTCTATTTTAAACAGCTGAATAAATAACTATTGAGTATTGATTTCATGAGTTTCATTCTTTAGGATTAGCATCTTGTTCACCTTATTGTCACTCCTGCACTAATTTGTTTGATGCACACCTATGCCTCAATTATACAGAACTACTAAAAACTACTCCATTGAGCCTTCTTTTAGTTCCGTTCAGCCGATTACATTCTAATTGGATTTCATGTGGCAGCGTTACTTATAGGGCGAACAAGAGATATATT